TGCCACAGTCAACATTCGGAATGCGTCCGCGCACTTAATTTTGTTTTTCACACAAAATTTGATACAGATTCTTTGATCCATTTTTTGGAATAGGCAAAAATCGAAGACGAGCCAAAACACGTGCAAGCAAAGCAGCTGTCAAAAATTAACTGAACATTAAAAATGGCCGAATTTGTCGGCATAAGTGAGAGACATGAGTACCAACATAACGCCACAAAAAATCGAAAATCGAATATACGTAACACGCGGAAATTCAAAATTCGCGATACTTTTTGAACAGATCTCGTATATCGATCTGTAGTGTCCCGACAATTTGGTCACTCCAGCGTTCCCTCTTAAAAGGATAAAACACATTAAATTAAATCTCTCGTGCGTCTAACATACGTCATATCGCTTGATAATTAAGTCAATTTTGAATGTTTGACCCATTGTTTCAAAACTTTTGCTTGGCCTGGTGACCATTGAGATTTTTGGTCAGTGAGCCAAAATCTGTATCAAAATGTCATCAGCCAATTTGACAGGGAGCTCATTCCCATAAAAAATGTTCTAGAATCTTTTATGATGTAACGATTTTTCATTCGAAGTGAGATCTATCCTATTTTCCACTCTATGTAGGAGATGTGGAGTAGACCTCCCTTTGCGTGAAAAATGATGTCTCTAGGCAGAGGAGGATGTCCCTAGGCAGAGGAGGGGGGGGAGGTAGAGTGGATCTCATTTCGCTTGGAAAGTTCTCACTTAAGTCGGAGAGGGGATGGCGGGATTCTTATTGTTTGTAGCAGAAATAAAAATTGTGTTTTAAACTTCTTTTGTTAATAACTTTTTAACGAGTAACGATGATTAAAACTTTCTTAAGGTTGCTCAAGGTCAATATATGTCAAGGTCAAGGTCATTCCCCGTATTTCCAGTTTTATGCATTGTTACAAAAGCTTTAATCGTCATAGGCCTGAATATGCTTATACTTAAATATTTATCATCAATTGTTACAAAAAATAGATAGTTTACATTTTTTCCGACTTCCCATGATTGATTAAGATTGTTAGAGTCGCAACAAAGATTTTTATCAAGAGGTTGCAAGAAAAAAACTTAACAAATTTTGAAGAGGCTTTATTGTAAATAATTACGAAAGAAGGACGAGTAAATGTCAATTTTTGCCCCCAACCGGAAAGTAAAATATAAATGTTTTTTTATAGTTTTTGGACAGTAGAATTACGTAGAGTAATCAGTTTTCCATAACATGAAGGGAATATATGTATGTAAAAAATGTGAATAAAAAAGCATAAGATTTTTCTCACAAAAATGAGATAATGATCGTTTTTAATGATTTACTCTCAAAAATTATTAAATATATGACATTTTGTTATAATAGAATTAAAATAGAAAAAAATACAGACGTACGAAGACTCAAGGATGTAAGACGAGAATCACATACACGTATTTTACATCTTCCCGTCTTTTTAAACTCTAGGCTCTTAAAGCGTGTCCGTGAACTTCTAAACCTCAAACTCATAAATCTTAGATTGAAAACCCAGACACTTCAATCTCATATATTGATCATATGTCAATTTCCACGGCATCAGCCCGATATGCACAGCGGAAAGATTGGATATTGTACATTATTTAGCCTTAAAAAGAACGGATTCTAATTATTATAATATTTTAAGAACTCATTTATGTGCTCTATGAGTGAAACTGACATCAAAGATTAACTATAACCGCATTTAAATTGAAAATTAAGTTATCATTAATGAATGCGATTTATATGTCTACATTTTAAGCGTATGAAAGTAAAATATCTGGTTTTTTAGTCTAAGATTGGTCAAAAGTTTAAAAGTCTACGGATAAGTTCTAAGACCCGGTTGCACTAACGTTACTTTGATTTTAAGCGAACTTAAAACTCATTTTAAAACCGAAAAGAGAGTTTTAAACTTAAAATTTAGCGTTGGTGCAACCATGAGTCTCGAGTTTAAAAAGACGGAAAGATGTAAAACGCGTGTATCTGATTCTTGTCTTACATTTTTCGAGTGTTCGCATGTTTGTGTTCTTTTCTATTTCAATACTATTACAACAAAATGTGATTTGATAGTTTTTAAACATTAAAAACAATCATTATGTGTCTCATTTTTATGGCAAAAATTGTATTCTTATTTACTTACTTTGTTCCCATTTTCACACATGTTTTTTTCATGTTTATGGAAAATTAATTGTTTTACGTAATTCTGCAACCTAAAAATTATGAAAAAAATATACACATTTCGCTTCCCGATTGGAAGCAAAAATCAACGATTGTTACCGTCCACCTTTATTTTATATTGATTGCATATACAGAATGTCCCGGAAAGACCATAACAACACTTAAAAGTAGATTCCTGAGATCATTTTGAGGTAAAAATTTGAATATAAAATGAGGCTACAACAGTTTTTAAATTATAGGCATTTAAAGTTAGCGAATCGCCTAACGTTCGCACGTTTAGTTGTATTTACTATTTGGTATTTTACGTCATATCACGTCTGAGTCCCAATATTTACTGCCAGTACTGAAAATCTATAGTTTACGTCACGTGCAATAGATCTTCAATACTGCCAGTAAATTTTGGAAACAGAGCCCATATCTTCGCATGAACTTCAGATAGCAACTGATCGATTCGATAACTTTAAATGCTTATGATTTAAAAACTGTCATAATCTCAAAATTATGATATCAAAATTTTCATCTCAAAATGATCTCAAGAATTTACCCTTAATCGTTGCTACAGTCTTTATCGGATATTCTGTACGTACAGATTCATTTATAAAAGTAGTACGATTAATTTTATTAAGTGGTCATAATTTATATGAATATGGAAATGATTTTAAAATAAAAAACAGAATATTAGTCAAATATTAGTTATATTTAATTTTAGTAATCAATTTTGTATTACTTTGAAAATATAGTATTATATTATATGTTTATTTAGAGAGCCTATGGTCTGATATGAATTCGGAGATATGTCATGCTACCGGCAACAACGCAAACAAGCAAGCTATGACATCCAATATAGGTAGTAATACTGATACTCTTGGAGCTGACCATGAATACCATGAAATCAGTGATGAAGAAAATCAAGATAGTCCGTTAAAATTTGATAAGACATTAAATTTTGATTTTGGTCCAAGTCTTTTGGCAGAAATGGATCAAATGTTCAGATCATTAGGTAAAGGCAAGATTGAAAGATATCCTGTGTTGTATATCGAATGTTTCTCAATGAAGGAAGTAATTTTTTAAACTTTTTTAAAGTTAATTAAACCTATTTCAGCCTCTAATTAAAGAAATCCTAAAATGAAGTCAATTATGAACATTGTTTTTATTTTATATCTTTAAATTGGCTTTTCAGAAATGTAAAATTTTGATTTTTATGATTAAAGGACGCATAAAAATGAAAGCGGAGACATTCAATTTTATATAAAAAACAAAAAAAATATTACTCTTTAATTTATATGTAGAGCTGTCACTTGACAATATTTGCCAAATACAAAAAGTTTATAGTTTATATATTATATAATTATATAAAATAAAATAATCGCCCTCTTGAAATAATTAATAGGTTTGTTTTCTGTTCCTGCATGAGGATTGCACTAAAACTAAACTGGACTGAACTATAGTGCAATCCAAAACTTACGAATGTAAGTAAGGAATAAGAAAACGTTCTAGTGCCAAATAAAAAAGGCGTCCTAAATAGTTTATATAGAAGTAGATTCCTGTAATGAAGATGAAGTATTAATGCAATTTCACTGTTAAAAATATTCTTCATTGAAGATAATAATAATACAAAATATTTTCTTCAGACCTACATTTATATATTTTTATCGTTTAATATCATTTTATTTTTAATAAACATTCGCATTATTTGTACAAGATCTGTTTTTTGCGGCTGAACTAGTGTATACATATATGTTAGTATACTAAGACACTAGAAATGTAGATATTCTCATTTGCCATTTTGGTTCTACTTGATTGATTGGTTATAGTACGATTAGTGACAAAGGTAAATATTAAAAAGATCCCGCTTGTCTCAAAAATATACTGAATCGATGCGTTTTTGTATAAAAATAAAGATTTGACAAGAGAAAGTGTTACTTTGCTCCGCGAACCGAGATATTAATTCTCAAAGTTGACGACTATTCCGGTTAGGAAATCTGTCTAGCAGCGGTTCATTGCTTTAAAAACACAAATTTACTGCTTTCAAAATACAAATTCACTACTTTAGCAGAAACTTTATGTTTTTAGATCTCCAATGGGGAAAAAATATTTGAAAAAACGTTTTTTATTAATTAATTGTAATTTTTTATTATATTTTTATCTTTTTTACTTACCAGGTTTGGAACTTGGATCTCAGGATTATGAGTCTCATATCTTATCCATTACGCTACTTATAATTGCCGATGTATACAGTTCTAATTGTACATATGATACACTTAACGCAATTATATTGGGTTAATTTCTCTTCCGTGATTATTTTTTTATTTCGACTCGTTTTTTATTAATTTAAATTTTAGAAAATAATAAAATTTTTTTAACATTTATAATAAACGTCAGATAAACGTTAAATAAATGTTTCTTTAACCATATTTTAATTAAATAAATAACGTAAAACAAACATTTCATAAATATTAAATAAACATTAAAAAAATGTTTTATCGAAACATTATTTCAAATGAAAAATTAATGTAAAACAGACGTTTAAGAAATGTTAAATAAACATCTAAGAATTTTTCTTCGAATATTTCAAACGAAAAATTAATGTAAAACAAACATTTAATAAACGTTAAATAAATGTTATCTTAAAAACGAGTCGTGAATTGTAAAATTAATGAAAAATAAACTCAATGAAATACAACAGCAAAATACAAATGGGAACAAAATACAAATAGGAATCAGCGCTGGATGTTATATTGCGCAATGCTAACTATTAACATATAACTAATTCAATTTGTACGTTTCGGCTCACTTTTTGAGCCATCCTCGGCAATAAAAAAATTACCGCTTATCGCATTATAAAATCTGTCGAATCGCGCACAATCGTTTCGATCTCCAATAATGCAGTCGCAGTGGAAACGTGGTGAGAGACAACCATCTTCAACATAGTCTAATGTTGTGGCAACCACTTGCTTAGCTAAGTGAAACAAATCGTGGAACTCAAGCTAATAATTGCAGCAAGATATTTTTGAATAGATGGATATTAATTTGCGTAATTAATGTAGCCAGAAACTCACCCCATTTCCAACAACGATCGCATGCGGATCTAAGCATTATATTAAATATATTTATAAAATGATTAAAAATGACATTGGTATTTTTGAAAAATAATAATGATGAAATAGATAAAATAATACAATTTTGAAAAGGAAAGATTATAACTTCTACCTATATAATAGAAAAATAGCAATTATTACAATAAATTTTTAAATATAAATTTAAATTAAAAAAATTAATAAGTTTATTACAGTTTTTTAAGATCTGGGAAATTTTGGGGGGATTATTTGTTTCAGATTAATTGTGCGAATCCGATAAATTCATCTCGCAATTTATTTCTGAAAATTAATGCATGTAAATGAATGTATATTATATAGTAATTCAACATCTTAACACTTGGATTGGTAAGGCGCTTCGTATTTCAAGTTTTAAAAAAAATTAATTATTTTTTATTTGTAAAATTAAAAGCAAGAAATATTTTGTATAAAATGAATAGAAACGTGTAACAGATTTTATTGATCCATTTTTGAAAAAGAATCATATAAATGAAAAAATTAATGAAACAGTACAAATTTATATTATGCACATTCTTTTAAGAGAAAAGAAAATATGTTTTCTTACATTGTAAATATGTTGTTTTACATATTTACAATTACATTGACTATCAATTAGATAGGTACTTACTCTAATTTATACATCATTGATCGAAGTACTGGTGAAATGGAAATATTATTTGCACTACATTGTGATCTTAAAGTGCTTTGGAAATCTTCAACAGAACAATTAGAATTCTAATTAATAATGTAATATGTAAAAAGTCTGTAAAAAAATTTCTTTATAAGGAATGTATATAATAGTAGATACCGTACCTTTTCTATGTATGAGTGATACCGATTAATTATTTTGTCGTAAACAAAACAGTTTTTCTCGGAGCGATTTTCTCAAAGTGATGTACTTAAACCTGTATAAGATTTTTCGTTTGATGAAGTATTATGCGATCCTACGATTTGCTCAAGTGTGGAAGGAAAATTGTATTTGTCTTTGCTATTTCGTACAGGACTAATAGATACAAGAAATAAATGTTAAAACTAAGCAAAATCAGAATTTCAAATTTTTTCCTTGTGAAAAAATTTATATATATGGCTCTGTGGAGTTTCGCTGTTAAGGTTAGATTCTACTTGGTTAAAATTTTCAATACTCTTATTATTATGCATCTTCATTGCATAATAAAGCACTTTTGCAATGTCACAGTTTAATTTTAACAGTTTAAGACTAACAATTTCAAAGTACTTACTCTAAACCGTAATAAATACAACAGATGTGTTAGAACGACCTTTATGGTTTATATCTGCCATTGACTAGAGAGCCAATGATACAAGAAGGATGGTGGAAGGTTTACATGGTTGTGCTCAGTTTGACCAAACCATGCCTACTGTTGCTCCGTGTCGTTTCTAAGTGTACAGTCTATCTTTTGCACGAGGAAAGATTCAGTACCAACTTCATGACGCGAAACAGGTCGGTATTTACCGTCGATTCTTACATTTAAGACTGTCTTAAGTCAATCTTAAGATGTCGTAAGTCAATCGGAGGACTGTATACTGTTAACATCTTAAGACATTACATTTAAAATGGTTTTAAAATAAAAACGGACTGTGAATACCTATGTTTCGCGTTTTACAGTCATAGGCGGGACGAGAAGCAGAGCAACGATAAAGAGCGCTAATTTTAGAGAGAGACGCTTGCAAACTAAGCACACCATGTAATCCTTCCATAGTAGGTAAGAGAATGCGCATAATGGCGGCTTGATATAGCAAGAACCAATCCAAAATTTGCCTCAAAATTAGCGTGGAATTCAAGAAAGTCGACTTCGCGTACACTATTCAATTGTTCAATTATAAGCGTACAGTTTCCTACGCATCTTTTTTTAAAATTCTAATATTTTTGAATTTTAAATTTCTCGATATATTATTTTAGCAATAAATATAATAAGTTTATGAAATATTATAAAATATGAACATTTCCGTAAGAGCATTATGAAAATTATTAAATTTAGCTATATATAATATAATCGTTATAATATTAAAATAATATAAAATGTATATAAAAGTTAATGTAATAACCATTCATTATTATAAATTTCAGCTACAATATAAATGTTTTTTTCGAAGTATAATTCCGCGTTTTAATAAAGCATTTTATAAGTTAATAAAGCATTTTATAAGCTTTTAACATCTCTAAATGAAATTTCATGTAAATCTCTAGATAACTCTGTACATTTAAAAATTCTTACTTCATGTGAATCTAGATTATTGATATTATAAAATGAATTAATGAGTTGAAATTTATTGACAATTAAGCAATACTCATTATTATTACTGTATTGCAATATATTATATTTACTATAATACAAACAGCACCATCTTATAAAATGCAACAATTGCTTTTATCTAATTTGTAAGTAACTCTATTTATTTTTATACATGAAAACTGCTTAATGTTTTCTTGTTGATGCACAAGAAGGCCATTAATTTCCGACATACACGAATCGCGATAGCGGAATTTTGCGAAGAATTCTTGAAATCGTATTTTTTTTTCTTTATATAATGATTATAAATCTGTTGTAATTGTACAGAAGGTTTATGAACAGCTTTTTAAAAAAATGTCATATTATTCTCAAACAGGAAGCAAGAAAAATGATCCAATGGTCCAAAGTTATGAACATCGTTCGTCAAAAGAACTAGATTGTGGACATTATATGATAAAAAGTTTCTACCGTACACAGAAATACTCGTACTGTCAGTTACAAATAATTCTAAGATCATTCTTGCTTTTTCAATATTATTGTGGATTGTTTTATTCGATGATACGAAAGTATGGATTGCATAATGTAACTTTAAAAAATGCTGTATTCGTAGATCATCACCAAATAAATCCAGAAAAACAGTTGGTCGTAAGTAATAA